CGAGGAAGGGCGTGCCCAGTGCTCCGCAACGATGGAGCCACCAACGCACCGTAAGGGAGGGCTGATCCCGCCCCGCTCCAGCCTTGGGGGAGAAGTCAGGGCTTAAATCTGGGCAATCTTGGCTTTAAACCTGGGAGATCTTGGTTTTAGATCTGGGGGATCTTCAGCTTAAATTTGGCGGATCTTTGGCTTAGATATGGGAGATTTGGGGTTTAAATCTGGGGGATCTTGGGCTTAAATTTGGGGGTGCACAGGGATGGCAAACAAGATGGACAGATACAGGGAGCCTGATCCCCTAAATAACAAATTCTGAGGGTGAGACACAGACACTGGGGCTGAACTGGGATGGGGAGCGAGCAGAAGCCGGCTGCTTCGCTCTGGCCAGGAGCGGGGATCCCAGGAAAAGCAGCTTTGGGCGACTGGAAAGCAGAGAAACGGGACAACCTGGTCTCCAAAAACTTGCAAAAAACCCACCAGATGCTGTGCCGGGTGGAGCAAGATGGATCCTGGCTGAGATGTCCCCACCAGCCTGCCATGGCCAAACCCATTTGGACAAGGATTAAGCCACAGGCAATTTCGATGCTAATTCTCTCAGTTAAGTTCTTTAGCCCGACATCTGTGAGAAGCAAGAGGTAATTTCCCCTGGATCTCAAACGGCGCCTCAAAGACGCCGTTAATATAATGAAAGAAATACTGATTAAAGCCAAGCACATTGCTATGGAAACCGGCAGTCCCTCCTCCCACAACCCACAGGCTGGGAAGGAGAAAATCGGGTGAGGAAATCTGCCTGGTAACAACCCCGTTAATGAGCCGGGGAGCAAAAATAATCCCTTGGAGCGATGCTGCTGTGAAAGGAGCAGCCGGTGGCAGCCGGTGGGGAGGTGAAACCACGCGTGGCTCCCAAAATATTTATTTTTATGGGAGGGTAGAGCTGTTTCAGAGGGGGAGGGGATGCTCCTGCAGCCTGGAGGGATGAAGGGGGCACCTGGAGATGGTACCCAGGGGTGACTGGGTGCACCCACCGAGCCCTACGAGCGTGGGTGTTTCTTCCAGCACTTATCTGATTTTTTAGCCTTAAAATACAGGATAAAACCACCCTGAGACGTGGGTTTAAGACATTCAGCTGCCCAGCAGCCTGCAAGGACGTAGCTGCCAGCACAAAAGGGATTTATACGATAAACGCTGCGGGTTTCCCTCTCCTTGGGGTGATTCCCCAACCTACGGGCAGCCACGACACCGGGTGCGGGGCATCGCTGCCCGCTGCAGGCAGGGCTGTCATGCCAGCACTCATCCCCAGGTAAGCAAAACCCTCATGGGCCAGAGTTTCTTGGAGAATTGGGGATTTATTCTCATTTCTACATTGAATAATGGCCCCAAGCCCCTGGAGGAGTCTGGGGGTCTCCTCCTGGCTTGATGTGTCAGCCACCCCCAAGGAGAGGATGCTTGAGGCACCCATGGGTGCTGGCGAGGCAAGGATAAATCTTCCCATGGGCCAAATACAAA